CATCCCTCCAGCACTAACCCCCATACCTCCAGGACTAATACCCCCCCCTCATGTTTCCCCTGTCTGTGGACAGCCCAACAGCTCCCTGCTGTCTCTGTACCGGAGGGGCATCCCTGCATCCAGCAGCCAGACACCCCCTCCTGCCCCCCCCCCCTCAGAGTGGGGGGGCCCTGGTGTCCCCTGGAGGATGGTTCATCGATAGGGGCCGAGGCCCCCCCCAGAGCAGGGAGCTCATCGACCTTTGTGAGGAGGAGTCTAACACAGCCCCAGAGGTAGGAACCACATCTGGATGCAGGGGGGGGGGGCACATCTGGATGCAGGGGGACAGAGTGTTTTATTTAAGGTGTTTTTATTGGTCTTTTTGGCAGACAGATAAACATACAGATCAATGAAAAGAAGAAAATTCTAGACAGATCGGTTTTCTGTCCCTTTATATATCAAACAAGCGACAACACACAAACCAAAATAGAAAGGAAACAAATAACAACAAAAAAGAAAAAACAAACAAAACCAAAGACAAGGTGCCTGCGTTATACCACATATCTAACCCAGACCTCGCACAGATCAAGTTGGTATGATTGGTATAATTCAAAACTCCCCCCAAACCTCTCATGTGGACCATCACCAGTCTGTCCACTTCTTACACCAGCAGATGTCAGTGTGATCCTACATCCAATTTGGGTTGCTCATCGTACCCAAAGCCTCCGTCTTCCACATAGACTACTGTTCTCTGGTTACACCCCCAACATGCACAAGGCAGGAGATTTAGACAAATTAGACTTACTTTGACTTCCTTTATTGTCATTGAACAAAAACATGAGGTGAATTTGACAACGAAATGTCGATTACTTTGCTACCAGTGTGACAGCTAAGACCTTATACCATGCACAATAAATATGTATTCTACTCTATTCTATAACTAAGCGCTAAGCGTAAATAATTATATTTATACATATATATATTGCACTGACTTTTTTGCAACGAAACATTCAAGAGGGGGGTGCTTCCACCCCAGAGCTGACCGGTTTTGTCCCAGCCATGGAGCATATGGGCTAAGGTGCCACTTCTCTCTGGCCTTTGGCATCTGTCTGGCACAGAGTAGAGTCCTCTGTCACTCCCTGTGTGACCTGAAGTAAATATACCTGAAATAAACACAAAAGTAGAACCACCCCAGATTCTAACTGGTTCCAGGAGTGACTTCTGTGTTAAATATTGGTGTGTTGGTTCAAATCTTCCATCAGAATACTCTGTAATTCCTAGAATTGGTCTCAAAAACCTACGATAACTCCTTAATAAATACTGCAGATAATTACACATAGCAAGAACACAAATGACTTCTAGAAGAGAGATGGAAAAAGAAATAAATGATAAAGAAATAATAACTAAAAAGGGTTTTTATTGGCAGGTAGAGACTGAGATACAGGAAACATTTTCATGTTTTTATTAAGTATAAGTAGTATTTATTTTATATTGTTATTTTTATAAATATTTCTATATTTTATATATGTTTATGTTTATGTTTATGCATTTGGCAGACGCTTTTATCCAAAGCGACTTACAGAGTAGACACAGTTATAACATATAAAAATGTTATAACTCCCTAGTAAATACTAAATTGATATTTAGAGACCTGTCCTCAGGGGTCTTTGGTCCAGGAGCCAGACTGAAAGCTGGCAGACTGGACTAGAGAAGCTGGTCTTTTTCCTGTCTTTTCCCTGGACATGTGTTCCGGTCTGAGCTGGTTACCTGT